AAGAAGCAGGGGTTTTGGGTTCCTCCCAAACACCTTACACTGAACAGGGACAGTTTGGCTGGAAAAGAGCAACAAGGCTGCCATGTTGTTGTTGTTGTTATGTGCCGTCGAGTCGGTTCCGACCCACAGCGACCCTGAACAGGGTTTCCGAGGCTGTAAGTCTTTACGGGAGCAGAAAGCCTCATCTTTCTCCTGCGGAGTAGCTGGTAGTCTCAAACTGCTGACCTTGAGGTTCACAGCTGGATTAGTAACCACTACACTACCAGAGCTCCTTAACAAGGCTTACATAGTTCTTACCAAATGAAGACAACTCGGCCAGAAAAACAACGGGTACTGTCCCAGCTAACCTCAGGTTGCCACCACAAGGTTTCAAAAACACTTTGGCCCTTGTTTATATTCTTCTACTCTTAGGCTATGGTATCTCTGAATCAAAAGAGTAAATGTATAGAACTGATTTCTGAAATATTGATCTGGAAATTTCAACTTGGGACCTGCATAATCTCTAAAAGAATTCAAACTATCAGTACTTGACAAACCCTCACCACTTTACTTAGACCAATGTTATTGTTGTTGTTGCGAAGTGCTGTTGAGTCGGTTCCTTCCCATAGCGACCCTGTATAGGGTTTCCAAGGAGCAGCTGGTAGGTTTGCAATATCAAATTGACCTTGAGATCCAGCGCATTATCCTGCAGTGCCATATTGGGACTCCTTTCAGTCCAATAAATGATTGGAAATAAGAAAAATTAGTGCAAGTCAAAAAAGAGGTACCAATCTGAGTCACAATCTGAGTAATAAGATAAAATATTCCTGTGTGAAGATTTGGAAATTCTCTAATTATATGAAGAGGGTTTTGTTTGGACATTGAGGTTATTGTTAGACAACAGAATAGGCAGTAACTTAAAAGAAGACAATCTGAAGTCATAAAATATTGTGAGAAAAAAAAAAAACCTGATTGCTAAGTTTCACACATATCAGTGAATTAGAACCCAAGCACCAAGTAATTCTCCCAGAACTTAGGGGTGAGAGGAAGATTTAAAAAACGTAAAGGGCTTAAAAAGATAAGAGAGGTTAGAGAACAAGTCATTACTCATATGTTACATTCAATGCAGCATGTACTTTCCTTTAGTACCATCGGTTCTTGTATGTGTAATAGAACTGCCAAAGTCTGCTTCTTGTTGTTGTTAAGTGCCATTAAGTCAGTTCCAACCCATAGTGACCCTGTATAGGGTTTCTGAGGAGCAGCTGGTGAGCTTGAACTGCCAATTCAAACCAACTTTTCAGTACAGCATATTGAAATCTGCTTAGTATGTAATGTTAATATATTGGAGAACCTAAAAATTGTCGATAAATTAACCACAACATGCAACTGTAAAAAGACCACTCATACAGACAGACTACTAGAAAGCCCAAACAAGAAAATATTTCTTTTAAATAAAATTATAAACCCAGATTCTCTTCTACATAGAATTGCTATAGGTCAGAACTGACTGGACGTCACCTAAAAACAACAAAAATTTACTTAAAAGTACTTTTTAAAATTATTTCTGATAATATACTTAGAATTCATAGAGAAATAGATAAACAATATATGTATATTATACTGTAAATGCAAATGATAAAAATTTACTTCAAAAGTGGAAAACAAACAAGATGGCGGATCAGGTGGAAGTGCAGTGAGGAGCGCAGGCAGCAACAACACAGAATACCAGACCAAGCAGTCTCAGGGGATGATGCCAGAACTCTGAACCACATATAGAGGAATATTTAGATGGTTGGAAGGCTTACAGCTAGGGGAATTTGTAGCAAAAGCAAGAAATTCATTGCTTTCTAATTCAAGACACTCATCTGCTCCTGGAGCCACCATCTTGGGCGAGACCAAATTGGGGGAGGATCAGAGCAGCCTCGGATGCCTGATAAAACCACAGAGAAAAAGGTGTGGACGTTCTTTTTTCTTTTTGGTATCTGTTCATTGTTCCCTTGCTGTCTGCACACCACCATTCTGGTGATTAGAGGGGGTGCCTGAGTGAATAGACACCCCATCCCCACCCCTCGAAATTTAAAGTGACATTTTCCACTTAAAACCAAACGGCCAGAGCTGGCCCTGAACTGTTTATCACTAGGAAAAAGACCTGAATGGGGATTGTGGAGCAGGACAGGCAGACTAAAAAGAAATAGGCCGAAAATTAAATCCTGGGTTACATCACAATGACCAACAGTGGCATCTTGAAATTTCTCAGGAAGAAGAGTGAACAGAGAAGCCCATCTCCTGATCACATCTACCTGGAGGCAATCAGAAAGCATAAAAAATACAAAAATATACACCCATGTAAGTACTAAGGTCACAGATAATTCCTAAATGTGACCAAAAAAACAGAAGCAGATGACCATATCGGCACATGTCCAGAAATGAGATAAAGTGACTGAAGCAAATGAGCTGGAGGTAGACCTACATTCCATACCGGAAGATGGGCAGGCTTTGGAAATGCCTGAGAAGGAATTCAGAAAAATGGTTATAAAATATATCAAAATACTATACAATGGAGTTCTGCTGTGCATAAGGTTGCTATGGGTTGGTACCAATTCAATGGCACCTAACAACAACAAGATGTATTTCTATTGATGTTTGAAATAATTGATACTGTTCTCAGTGTTCTTGCTAAAATATTAAGACAAGTATAAAAGGAATCATATTTTGGCATGCATCAAAATGACACACTTTAATCCTCTCTGGTGTGGTGCTGTGGGCTAATGTGTCAGACTGCAAAGTCATTTGAACTGCAAGGTCGGTGGTTCAAGCTCACAGCTGTTTCTTGGAAATTCTATACAGGGTCGCTACAGGTCGGAATTGACTCGACAGCACTTAACAACAACAACAACTCTTTAACTCATGTTTCATTACAGCCTCTCACTCTTGTGAGACTTATAAATTCAAATCAGAAAATAACTGGTGAGCATCAAAAAGTAAGCCAACCTGTTGTCATTGCAGCGATTCCAACTCATGGTGAATAAGATTTGCTAAATTTTTATGGTTCCTATTTCACACAGAAAGAATTAATTCCTTTAATTTAGAGCACAGTGCAAAGAAGATACTAATCATTGTCTAATCATGGATCTTAAATCAGATTAAAGGATAATATGATAATAGAGGAAGTAAATGTCCCTGTTTTTCTACCTAGATTTAGTTGTTGTTGTTAAGTGCCATAGAGTCGGTTCTGACCCATAACGACCCTGTATAGGGTTTCCGAGGATCAGCTGGTGAGCTTGAACCACCGACCTTGCAGTTCAAACGGTTTTGCAGTCTGGTGCATTAATCCACAGCACTACACCAAGGTTTAGTTGGGAAGGTGTAAAAGAAGAGAAAAGAGAATGATGTAGTTAGATGATGACTCCAGAGTTCACCTCTGCAAGCTCTGTTCATGTAAAGAGATTGCATTTGCACTGAGGAAATCACGAAGGACCAGGAGCTATTTTTCTCTAACTCTAGTTGGGATTCTTAGAGGAAGCCGCGATAGGCTTAGTATCAACATATGGTTATCTGGTCAGGTATCCTGAAAGGACAGATTGGCACAGATACACAGACTTCTTACAATGTTTTATTGAATCTGAATGCCTTTCTTTGGAAAGTCATACCTTCAACAAAGTAAAAATGCTGTCAACTAAACTATAATATACTTGTAAGAAATACCCCAATTTTGGAGATGCTATAATTTGAACAAAAAAATAATAATAATGCAAAATTTGACTCAAAAAATATGGCCAGCACTACTAAAATCCAATGTTGCATCTTACTCATCTTAGTAGCTCCTGTTTCTAAATCAGCATATAGTAAGTGTTCAATAACTGGTAAAAGAAAAGGAAGAAACAGGGGGAAGAAGGTAGAAAGGAAGGAAGGAAAGAAAGGGCTTCTGGCTTACTCAATGTCTGAATGTAGCCATCAGAACTCCACACAACCTTCTCTTTCATTATTTTGAATTCCAGATTTTGGTTCATGTTCTAGACCATTTCCACTATAAGTAATTCAGACATAACTTTGGGATCATACGTTCCCCTCCAGGAGTAGCCTCACCTTGCCGCATTGCACAAGATCCTATATTGCTATGCCCTTGCTTCCAGATTGGTCTTTTCTTCTATCCAAAGTATGCTTTCAAGCTTTCATGTCCACATTGTGCTGGGACTAACTCTGGCAGGTGAAGAAGAAATTACCACAATGAATACAGCTTTATGCTTTCTCTGAATAGCACTTGAGCTGAGGCTTGAAGCACAGAAGAAATTAACCAGACTGTCCAGATAGAGAATCTGTTGTTGTTAAGTGTCATCAAGTCAGTTCCGACTCATAGTGACCCTATATAGGGTTTTCCATGAAGCGGCTGGTGAGTTCAAACTGTCAACCCTGCTGTTCAAACTGAACTTGCAGGCCAGTGCTTTATCCCACAGTGCCACACCAGGACTCCTAGATAAAGCATAGCAATCGTAAATGAATTCCGCATGCTATATTGATAGCTCAGATGCTAAAAACAAAATCCAAACCTTTGATTGTTAAAAAATGTTGCGTTTCATAATCTTACATTGTAATTTATGTTTCATGCACTTGAATGCACAATGTGTTTTCTTCTTACAGCTAGGCTATTCTTAGATAGACTTTGTGCTGGCAGGATCTAGGTGGTTGAAGAGGGGGAATATTTAACAGGTGATGAGCTATTTATAGTGGCAGCCACATTGGCCCAGTAATGAACAGTGCCAATATTGTTCTGTTTGGGAGAAGGCCACAGTCTGTTTTTCCTCCCATCTTGCTGATTTTTCCTTCTCAATCTTCTTCACTTGGAATATTTTACTTTTCTGATTACTGAAATTTGGAACATCCCCACAATTCTTCCCTTAGGACTTTCTCTGCTTTATGTTTTTGTTAGTTTTTGAAGTTTGAAATATTGGACAATTTTTTAAATATAAATTTAGCAAACTATGAAGGTTAATACTAAAACCAATCCATTCATGTCTAGTACTATGATAAAGCAAGTGAGGCACTTAGCTTGGGCTCAAAATTTAAGAGGTTACCAAGCAAACTCAGATAAATAATATTTCAATATAAAATTTTTAAATAAAAATTGATGCCAAAAAAAAAAATCCAGGATGAACAAAATATTTTAAATTCAAATAAAGACAATATCTGACTCTGTACTTTGTTAACCATGCCTCACTTGTATCACTGCAATCATGGCCCTGGTTACAATAAAGCTTTATTTACAATAATAGGCAGTTGGCCTGATACAATTTGCTGCTTTGATTCTTTTAAATTGTTGCATAAAAACCTGGCTTGCCTTGATTACTTAGTGTGTTGGAGCACCATTAAATCTTGTACTCAAGATGAATAACCTGTCTATTGCCCAATATATGAAACAGAAAACATTATTTGGTTTTGCTTGGGTGTGAACTTTGTAAAATTAAAATTTGTTTCAAGAAGAATGTATCAATTTATGGCCATATACTAATTTAGAAAAAAAAAATTTTTAACCATAAATGCTATCTGAATATATCAACTAGGTTCCATTCTAGGTGGTAAATTTCTTTTTTCTTTTTTTCCTTTTTGAGCCAAGATCAAGTCTTTTATATAATGAACAGATAGTGTGCCCTCATGGTAATGTGTTTCTGAACTAATTTGGTCTAATACAATGAACATAAAAATTGTCAGCCAAAATTACAGTTAATCAGCTCAACTGTTGACTGATTTAATCTTATGATGTCAATAGCATGAAGATGGAGATTAATTTCCACATTGATCAGAGTTTTCAAAGGAACATTTTTCAGACCCATTTACCTTGGCAAACTGTTTAAACTGTTTAGAATCTAGTGAGTAGGGGACTTACCCTGTTAGTTTCCGTTACAGCTGACTTCAACACACCAGAAGTTTTTCCTGTTAGCAGCTCTTTTAAAAAGTTCAGAACCAGGGAAATTCTCATAGACTTTCTTGAAGAAGACAGGTAGGTCATGAATACATGAAACGCTTTAGGTTAGTCTATCTGGCAATCCCTTTCCCTTTGTTTTATAAGCATTAATTATTGTTAATCATCACACAATGCTCTTCCTTATGAACTTGATCTTTTGCAGTGAAAACATTAGTTTATTAAGAAGCATAAACATGTTCTGCTTGGCCTAGAATTAAAAGAATTTGGGGCATAATATTATTCCAGAAGCACCTTCCTTCATAGCCTTGTATTAAACGATTGTAACTCTGTGGGGAAAGTTGAAAGGGGGTTGGTATTTGTTCAGAAGACATCTATACTCAAATTGTTTTGGAACTAGAAGTTTTATGGACAAATTTTTAATAAAGACAGGTACCAAATTTTCTTCTATCATAAAGTAAATTGATTTTTTCTTATTAAAATAAATTAACTTAGTAGTTTCCTTTTTTAAAAAGGAACATAATATATTTATAACTAACATGCATTTATAAATTTTTTATGATTTCCCAGGAAAAGTTTAATAGTGGGACCTGTCTTTTCTTCCATCTTCCTTTTGGCTGGAACTCTAAGAATGAGAAGAATTGTCTTTGATAGTGTTTATATCTTATTCTGCCTCTTAGGTGGTAAGTCGTTACAAAACTACAAACCAAAAACATGGGAAATTACTTAAGAATTTGCAGAATTGCAATATAACTTTGTGGAAACTTAAGTAAAGTAAGTAAGGTGTATTTAACAAGGCTTGGTTAAGTACTGAGCTAATAAGAAGAAGAACCAACTCTTACTAAGCACTTACAATATGCCAGCTACTACCCTAAACATTTCATATGTATTCATGCTTTTAATTCTCACAACAACCCTATGAGTTAGGTTATTTCCACTTTGTAAATGAGAAAACTGAGCAAGTAGATAGTGGTCCACCTATTGCTGTTATTATTGCTCCACCTAAAACTAACCAAACTAGCCTGGTGGTGGTGGGTGATGGTTATGTGCCATGGAGTCGGAACTGACTCATAGCGACCCTGTACAGGGTTTCTGAGGCTGTAAATCTTCACAGGAGCACAAAGCCTCATCTTTCTCCCACAGAACAGCTGGTAGTTTCAAACTGCTGACCTTAAGGTTCGCAACCCGATTTGTAACCACTACACTACACCCTTATAAATATGGCAAAGCAAATAAATTAATAGGACAAAAGATACCTAGACTGGAGCCTTCAGCATGTTTCCTGTTATAAGTGCTCTTTCTACCAGGTCCAGCATCCCTTTATTTATAAAAGAATAACATAAAAGAAATAATTGAAATTTCAGTTCCTCTTAGAAAATTATTAAGACCCGAGGCAGTTATTCCTTACAGCTTCTGAAGCTAGGAAGATATTTGTGAAGGTAAGATTCTGATCAGTCTTGTTCTGGCACTACCATGGAAATTCTTCCTCTCAGTGAAATGATGACAAAGTGATGAAGACAGACAGCTCTGCCCTGAACCTAGGAATAAACAGGGCAGAATCTGTCAGAGTCATAAAATGGTTAACACTACATTGGTGGCTGTGTGCCGTGGAGTCGATTGCGACTCATAGTGACCCTGTACAGGGTTTCTGAGGCTGTAAATCTTTAAGGGAGCAGAATGCCGCGTCTTTCTCCCACGGAACAGTTGGTAGTTTCGAACTGCTAACCTTGTGGTTCGCAGCCCGAGTCGTAACTACTAGGCTACCAGAGGTCCTTAACACTAGATTAGGGTTAGAGAAAGAAGCAAGATGAGGTGGTGTTTACAACACTGCTTCTCAAACTTAATGTGCATACAAATCAACTGGGGATCATATTAAAAATTAGATAGAGGAGCAATACCACAGAATATCAGGCAAAGCAGATCCAGGGCAGAGCTCCAAACTTGGAACCACAGAAATAGGAATATTTTGAAGGTTTGAAGGCTTATTGATTGTGGAACTGGAAGCTGAAGTTAAAAATCATGTACTTTTGAATCTGCTGGGCTGGACTTGGAGGCCAATAGCCAATATCTTGGGTGAGACCAAGTGGCAAGACCAAACGGGGGGAGCAGAAACACCATGGTAAAATGTCGCAGGAATCTTGGAGCAAAGGTGGACAATACACTTTGTCAGTTTTGCTTTGTTCTGATTTTCTTTTTTTTTGGTATCTGGTCATTGGCACGCTCACTGTTTGCCCACCTCCATTCTGGTGACTAGAGGGGGAGCCTGAGTGAGTGGACACCCCTCAACCTCACTACTGGTGGG